TCTTTTTACTTTTTTGTTTATAAGACTTTTCGTAACTCTAAATCCAACCAATATGCCTGTTAAACTCACTTGATTCAGAGTAAAACAATAGTTAATTAATCGGAATGTTAACTAATTGATTGCCTAGCCTTATTACGAGGTAAATTTTTTTAATTTAGCACGTATCAAAAGCCCTTATCTCATTCACAGGTGATAAAACGGGTAGTAAGAAACTTTTGAAGTCCTGATGATCTGTAAAAATCTCGAAACTTTAAGACTAAATATAAAGAAGATAATATTGAGTTACCATTCCGGTTATCGTCATTGCCGGAAATTCCTCAAGGACTGTGAGGGCTCCAGCATCGCTGAGGATCCATTCTTGGCAAGACTGAAACGTCCGCATCATGCGGTCTTGTATCAAGTCGACGTTCAGGGGCGCTTTAGTTATCTCTTCGTTCATGAGCAAAACATGACGGCGAGCACTCACGGCGTCTTCACATTTGTGAGTATCAACGAATCCCTAAAACAAAAACAATTTGTTACGTTGATGCGCCGTTTACGCATGTAAGCTATTTAAATAATAGTTGCAGCACTGAATATAGGACCAAATATAACAGTTATTTTTATCAAACATACATCCACATTTGTGCAAACACAAAATGCACAAAAAGTTCGCGCCTGTCGATTTCCGCACAACACTCCGAGAGCCAATCGTTGCAACCTGCGAAGTCCTCTCAGCGAATGACGACGCGGAACATACGTTTAGACCAAGAAATGCAATCTGCGCTGTTACATTAAGCAAAGCAAGCGGGACGTTTTGCATTCCCTGATGTCGCAGACAGCATCTTTGGGTCTAACCAAATGTTCGGCATCCTCATTAGTTGACCGGTGCCGTAAATTGCAGTGATTGGCTCTCAGAGTGCCATGTCCCTGGCCGGTCAAAAAACAAAAACGTTTACAGCACCTATTCGCTCACGTTTATTGGGGCCATAAATACGGATAAATTAGCTAATTAAAGCCCGGTAACAAACGTTGTTACATTTACGAAGAGATATCATTGCTCATTTCATTCGCGCTGTAAATTCGAAGTTCTGTTCTTGAGATCTTTCTGGCGGAAAGCTTGAACTCAGCATTTTGTCATATTATAGATAGTCAGTATTGTAGTAATGAAATCAGTGTTCGCTTCAAAAACGTTTTTTTCTTGTGTAGTTCAACATACAAGACTGTAAAATAATGTTTTTTTTTTTTGCAACGTGCTTGTTTGGACAACTCCAAGTTAAAATAGCATAAAAACAAATTTCAAACGACAAGTAGCTTAATTAATAAGAAGCCGCCCCCTGTCCTACTTATTCTGCCTATGCATCAAACAATTTCCGGCCATTTTGAGCACTACTGTACTTATAGCAATTTTCAAGATAAATTATAAATATTGCCTGATTAGAAGAAGTTTTACCTTGAAATGATGAACAGGCCGATTGCAGTTCGTTTTCAAAAAGCCACCAGCAGACGTCTCCAATCGTCCATGTGCTCATGTCCGCTGACATGTTGCAAGTGATGGCTAAGAGGAAAGGGAGGAAGGTACTTCCTTCTAGAGCTTCAAACCCAAAGGGAGAGGAGGTCAAACATTGTTCCGATCCGCCACTCGTACGAGCGAGTGTGGCACTCCCTCGAGCAACGAAACTAGATCCTACCGAAGAAAGGGTAAAAGCACAGGCGAGCTGGTGAAGAACTTCCATCGTAAACCGGAGACACGGAAAAATAAAAAAAAAACGGACAAAACAACAACAACTAGATCCTGTTGGCTCCAGTGACCTTCAGCGACCCATTCCTGTTCACCGCTAAGCTGACAGCGCGGTGGAAGCTACGTGCTTGCCGGACCAATTAGTCGCCTGGTTTTTATCACCTGACACCTTTCTCTGCGGTTGTGATCACATGGTGCAAGGCAGAAGGTTCACTGGTCAAACGAGCATGACGTTCCCAACGAACTGTCAGCCTAGTGGTGAGCAGATTAGCCCCCGAAACGTCGCTTTTGAACAGATTACGGCTTATCTTCTGGGGTGCCGTTGAGCTGCCTGAACCATGGTTCGCTGGCGAAGATAATATGCAGATGTCATCGCTTTTCCGTCCTTGTCTGCCAGGAAACACGGCGATCACGTCACCAAGCATGTCCGTCAGCCGCCGGTAAAATTGTTGGCAGTTTACTCTCTTGCCAAAAATAAACACAAAATAAACAAGAGCGAAATTCTCGATTCGGCGTGACACCTTCCGGCAACGGAAACAATCAACACACTGTGTTGAGCAACGCGTGTTGGCCTATTTGGTGGCTGAGCGACTTTTGTGCCGGCAGTACGACAACGCACCTAGATTCGATGATTCAGTGTCCGGTCAGTGACGTGTTTTTTATAGGAATTTATCAAAATAGAGGGCTTGGAAACAAGATTGAATGATAATCGAGCCTATTTTGGAACTCGAAGGAGAAGTGATAATAAATCAATCAGAGAGAGCGAATTGATGTCGCTGACAAAGAATTTTTCTTCCAATCGGAGCCACCTCCGAACCGTCGATTGCCATTTCTGAACAAATATTCGCTCAGTTAAGCGCCACGTCACGGAAATGCTGGGCGTGCAGGCGGCGCTTATCCCTTTTACACTAGAAATGGGAATCGAAAACATAGAACCAGCCCCAAAACCGGAAAAATGGCCCCGGACAAAATTTTTCGAATAGAAAACTCGGACAAAATGGTTCAAATAAATTTTTTTCGTATTTTTTCTCGCTCCTTATTTTTATTAGCTTTAATTGGTACAATCCCAACATATAAAAAGATAAATAATCGTATAATGCAATACATTTTTTTGTGAAATAAACATTTCATTACACAAAGAAACTAGTTGTAAATGTGTGCTACGTTTGGCTTCACTCAAAACGTCTTCTTGTAGCTCTTTTCAACAGAGCTAGAAGAGGGAACTCCTTTAAAGTAAAACATCAAGTTCACAAAATGTAACTGTACGGCATCAATTTAAAGCTTCGAGCGGGAGATCGGAAAGAGTTGTATCAAACAGTAAAATAGATTGTTGGGCTAGTTGGTTGATCGGCATTATGAAAAAGAATGCAAAATAAACGGTACAAAGTCGAAGAAAAACACGCACGAGACAGGTGCCTGCCCTGTGTGTGTGTTTCTCCAACATTGTCGCGTCTATATTGAGCTTCTTTTTTTTTATAGTCTCTACAAAAGTTGCATTATAAGAGCATTGAATGTACTTAACAGAACTTCAGAGAAGCACCTTATTAAAAGATGAGTGTCTAAAAATCACTTGGGACCATTCTCTCCAGGATTGCACTTGGGACCATTTTGTCCGGGGCCGTTTCGTCCAGAACCATTTCGTCCGAGGCCATTTGTTCTGCATCCTATCATGCCATATTGCTCGCGAAAACTACGAGAACAGCAACGACCACGTTTCTGTGTTGTTGTTTTTTCCTCATGCCATCCCATTCTCCTAACTCTTGGTGGGCGACCTCAAAGTAGCGAGCGGGGTTCAACGGCGGACGGAGCACTCATTTCTTACACTGCACATAAATTTGAACGCACAGCATATCGAAGTTTAGTTTTGCTTCACTCAAAACGCACTTATAGAATATGCCTATGGGATTATTTCGGGGTATCCTTCTAGACATAACTGCTCCTTGAAATCGAAAAACCACCATTTACAGACTGATTTATTTTTGAAGATAAAGATGACTGCAACACATCACTTGAACCTTCCGCGCAGCAGGATTTTTGATGCCCCTCGCGGATGGGTCCCAACTCTATTTTTGCGGCTCGACGCGTGCCGCGAAACAATCAGAGGCGCGTATTGGGAGACGGGTGGTGTCATGACTCATGACCACAAGCTAGGACAACTGCATTCTATACTAAAACAAAAAAACCAAAAAACGTTCCTCTGTTCTATTTTTTTTTCATTCACACGCGCAGTTATACGTATATTGTTTAAACACGAAAGCAAGTTAAAAAATAGCTTTTGTTACAAAAAAAAACACGACGCCGCTTAATCACCGTATCACTCATTCATCGCAACATGCACTTTTTTGTGTGTGTTGCTCATTCATCGAAGTTTTGCACCTTTGAAAATTTGTATGCATTCTTTGGGGGTTGGGGGAAATAAACTACACAATCGATTTCCGGAGGTACAGATTTCTTCAAATAAACTTTAATTCAATGACCCGTTTGGTTTATACAAATGAGTACCTAAGAGTAGCTTTATACTAACATTTCTTACTAAATAAAACACGGCGAGCAGTTACGCTTGCAAACGAACGCCAGTGTTCAAACCGCTGAAGCAGGTGGCCCGGGAGTCAAAGGCATCGAAGCCTGTTTCATCTGTGGTCCGAGGCGAAGATTATCTTGGTGTGGTAAACAACACAACGCGACTTGGTAAATAACTACGACATTCCACCTCTCTAAGCTTTCAAGGACTTGACAGCTCGCACGGGCAGCTTTGTTTCCACAGAATGGCGCACCCAATTTCTCGCGTGCAAAGCCTTTCGAGCCTGGTCATTGTGTCCGTCTATCCGGTAGAAGACTTAAGTGACCTCCTTTTTCCAAAGATCGCTTTATCTCTTTCCTGGCTGCAACAAGAACCCTTTTCGCTCTCTCCAGGCCGGAAACTAGCTCTGCATTTCTTTTTTTACTTTGCGAGGGGTGCTTTTGGTTGAGAAAGCACGCTTCTAAAGGATCTTCCCCGAAATCGGTTCTTGTTTAGCGAAAAGAACCCTTTTTTGCTCATTTGGCTCCTTTTTTTCTGAGAGTGTAAGCATCGAAGCCATGTTTGCTTCATACATGCTTGGAACATGTCTGCAGACAGTTTTCGTATGGTCAGTGTGACGGGACCGTGACATCGTTCACACAAAACTTGTCCGTAGGCGTGTCCAACGGAAAGGACGAAACCCTCTTCAGGCAGTGTCTATGAGTGTTTTTTGCCGATGTGTTAGCGTCGTGACCGCGTCTCTCCTGTCGACCCATGCAGGATGGCAAAGACCAGTCCGCCGCCGGCAATAGGCAGCTGCTGACCGCCGAACAGAAGCGCCAGTACGACGACCAGGGATTCGTGGTGGTTCCTCGGCTCGTGTCGTCGACGTTCCTGACGCAGGCGAGCCGCATGGACGTCAGCCTGACCCAGAGGCAGCGCCTGAGCGGCGAGGCCCAGCAGAAGGCCGCCGACGCCATGCACGCCGTGCTCGCGCACTATCGCAACCTGCCCGAGGTCCTGGACTGGGTCGAGCAGTTCTGCGGCCCCAGACTCCTCTCGCTGGCCGCCATGTTTGTCAGCGTGCCGCCCGATCCCGCCGGTGAGACGACGACGACGTACAGTGTAAATAGATATTTTGGAGAGAGCCTAGCAGATTTAGGAGAGGGAACAACTCGAGCCATGGAGCACTAGAACCCCGTCAAGCAACATTGGATGGATGGATGGATGAAAACGTTTATTGGAAAAGAACTCCGATAACCGAGGTCATATCGCAAAGCGGTGACTATGTTGTCCGGCGTCGTCTTTTGGGGAAATCGGGGAAGGGGGTTTAAATGCAGGAGGTCAGGCCGGCCTGTAGAGATATACTCTAATAGTGATCTCAGCACCCGAGTCTTTCGTTGGGAATCACCCGCCGGGTGCGTCCAGTCCCGGAGATTGCTCGGCCGGTCGATTTGTTTCATCTTGCTGAAGATGAGGCACCTGTAAGTTTTGAGCCCTTCGCAGTCCCAGAGTATGTGGTGCAAACTGGGGCGCGTGTCCTCCTCCCTGCAAAGTTTGCACCGGAGGTCAGGTGGTACTGCGTAAGGGTATTTTTTCTTGAGGGCATAAAGTTCGAATTTGTATTGGAGGTTAGGAGTCACCGCTCCGCCAGTGCGAATGCGCCGTAGCAGCACCATTCCTTTTCTTCAAAATATGCCCTTCGGGATAGGGTGTTCCTCTGGGGACCAGGATCTTTCTAGGAGGTGTTTCCTTGTTCGTTGGTCTATGCGCACTTCTTCAACGGGGTCGTATGTATCCTGGTCCTCATGAGGATTGTCGTTGCAATCGCTCGGTTGCGGGTGTGACGGGCTGACGTCCGAAGGCCGGGGCTGCAGGGACGGTTGCGTGAGGTTTCTCATCGCCTGCTGCGCGGCTTCGTGTGCAAGCTCGTTGCCGGGTATTCCCTCATGTCCGGGGACCCACCTGACGCTGATCCTGGCCCCCTTGTTCCGGTATAGTCGGATTGCGGAATCAAAGATAGCTTTTATGGTGGGACTTGCAGAGTACTTGTGTTGTCTAAGTTCTCTAACCACTTCTTGGGAGTCTGTATAGAGAACTAGCTGCTGGTCAGTTCCTAAGTAGGGTGTAGCACCTTCAATGGCCTGCAGGACAGCCTTGCACTCCGCATATTCTGCTGTGTGATGGCCTAGGGAATTGCTTTGGGTCACTGTCCAGGTTGCGTGTTTCTTGAGGTAGGTGACTGCAGTGGCCCAACCTGTGGTGCCGAGGCTAGCGTCTGCGTAAGCCACCATGTTGTTAGGGGTCGTTAGTATCTGTGCTAGGTCTTTCTTGTGTTGTCTTGCGTAATGTTCCCGGCGTTTCTTGTGTCTATCTGCATCCATGTTCTTAGGTAGGGGCTTGGAGCCTTCTGTCACATCGATGAGTTCCCATGGAGGGGGTCTTTTGGGGATTGGAGGATCTGCCTGGATTTGTACGCCCATGAATTTCGCTATCATCCTGCCTTCGTTTGTATGTTGTAGGCGAGAGGCTTGAGCATCTTTCTGCTGCTGGATCAGATCAGCGATATCCGGGATGAAGATACACTTGCCCAGCTCTTCACTCCGGGTGGGTTTCGGGAGTCCAAGGATGGTTCTTCTTGCTTCGTTTAGCAAGGTCTTGAGTCGGTTGTGATGTCGCCGGGTGAGGGGATAAAATCCCGCCGCATAAGTAATTTTTGAGACTAGCAGTGACATGACCAGCTTCTTTGCAGTCTCTTCCGCCGCGCCGCCCATCTTGGGTGAGATGCGCTTAACCAAATTAATGCCTTGTTTCCATTTTTTAAGTGTTTCGGTGATCCAGGCTGTGGTGTTCTTTGGCGAGTATCCAAAGTTTACTCCTAAAATTTTATGGAGTCTTCTCGTTGGATTGGGTTTCCGGCAAAGGTAAGCCCTAAGTTTTTGTTGTTCTGATTCCTTCCATATATTGTGTACTTTGTTTTTTCAGGTGAAGGGTACATTCCTACTTCGTTAATATATGATTCGATGGTGTTGAGTCCTATTTTCAGAGCTGCTGCTTGCAGTTCGGGGTTCCCTTCGTGTGTCCATATGGTCACATCGTCTGCCTACGCAGTGGCTTTGAGGTGGGGAATTTCATACAGTTTCCATAAGAGCGGTGCCATTACTATATTGAATAGAGTTGGGGATAGTACGGCTCCCTGCGGAACGCCAATGTTGTTTTCGTGTGTGCGTCCTTCCCTGCCGTCTTTGCCACAACCAGCCCTAATCTTGTAGGTGCATCCCGTGAGGAAGGATTTGACAAAGTCGAGTTGTTTTCCGTCAAGACCCTGTTGTTCCATATTGTCTATTATGGACTCGTGGGGGACAGTATCAAAGGCCTTTTTGATATCTATGGATGCAATCACTCGCATTTGTTTCTTGGCTGGGTGCATATCAACGACGTCTTTATAGATCATAGATAAGCTGTCATGAGTGCTGAGATTTGCCCTAAAACCTGTTTGCGTGGGATGGAAGATGCCTAGATTTTCTGCGTTGTATTGGATTCTGGCAAGCACCATACGTTCAAGGAGCTTACCCATGATTGATGTAAGCGAAATTGGTCGTACGTTTTTGGGGTCCCTCGCTGGTTTCCCTGGCTTGGGTATGGGAGTGACGAGGGAGAGCTTCCATTCTTCGGGCAGCTGCCCTGATTCCCATATGTCGTTGAACCATTTTAGGATGACGAGTTTGGTTGTATGAGGTGCATTTCTAAGCATTGAATCGCAGCTCCAAGTTCCCACTCAGTAAAGGGGAGGTCTTGGAGTTTTTCCGATGGTCCTGCATGCTTGGGTAGATATATCCCGGCTTTTGGTTTGGTGGTGGGTTGCGGGAAGAAAGTTTCCCCCAGTTTGTCTAGGATGTCCTCTGTTGCTTCGTTGGAGAGAAGGGCTATTACTGGAATGGGGCTGACTCCCTTCCGTTTGCCCAGCATATATAGTTGAACGTTCTCCATACATCCCCAATGCTGGTGTTGTTGTCGAAGGTTTCGCAGTAATCCAACCATCGTTCGGTGGCTAGTTGTCATGAATATTTGCTAGCCTCCTCAGTTAGTCGGTTGACTTTGTCGATATGTTTCTTTAGTTTTCCTTTACGGTTCTTTTCCAGAGCTCTGGTTCCCTTGTCGCAAGGGGCCAGGAGGTGGTAGTCTGGTTCAGGTGTGTCATCCCTGACTTCCCTTACTTCAGTGGCCAGGTGGGTGGCTGCAGTTAGCAGTGCGGTGACCTGGTGTGGCTGCAGGTCTTCCCTTTGCTCTTCTAAGTTCTCTCTAAACTTGTCCCAAATTATGGTTTGAGTGGGACGTTTGGGTTTGAGGTTGTTGCTTCCGATTGCCGCATCAATAATTATCGGGAAGTGTTCACTACCCCCCGCATCCCGCATCGCGTCCCAGCTGAGCTTGCGGGCTGTGGCTGGGGTTGCTAAAGTGGCGTCGATGATGGAGTCAGTTTGATTGCTTGCTGTAGCATGCCTCGTTGGTTTGGTAGTGTCGTTTACCAGTTCGAGTTCATTGTGCTCTATGATTTCAAGGAGTCTTCTGGTTTTCTGGTTAAGCTGGTTATTGTTCCAGTCTTCGAGTTTGGTGTTAAGGTCTCCACCCAGAATGAGGTAGTCATCCGGTTATTCATTCTTTAAGTGGGTGATCCATTCAAAGTTCCATTGACTGCCAGGGGCATGTATATGCTGACACTACAACAAGTCGCCTCTTGGTTGTATGGAGAGCAATTCTTACTGCAGTAATCTCTTGGGAGTCTAAACACCTCTGGGATGTATCCAGCTGAATGCATGGCAGGTTCTTGCTTACAAACAGGTTGACCTGTGCCCTGACTTCCGATTCCCCAGGTCCGATATGTGCAGTTGTAAGATTCTGTCGTTTAATGGAGGGATTTGAGAATTTCAAGTACCCTGATAGTTCGATGTCGTTTGTTCTAGTTTCTTGTAGCAGGAGGATATCAAACTTATAATCTTTGATGTGCACGAGTAGTTCGGACTTTCGTCGTGGGAGGCTGCGACAATTCCATTGTACGATTCGGAACGAGCCCGTCCGATCGTGGTTAGCACTCATGTTCGGGCATGGCCTGGCTTGTCGTAGGCGCTGGTCCAAGCTTCTGGAGGATTGTTTGCTGGAACTGCTGCATTTGTTGCTGTGTTTGTTGCATTTGTTGCTGCATCTGTTGTTGGATTTGCTGCATTTGTTGGTTCATCTGTTGTTGGGTCTGTTGGTAAAACTGGAGGAACATCTGTTGCCAGTTTATCTGATTCGTTGGTGCCGCTTGCTTTGGTAGAGTGGGCTCCCTGGTGGAGATTGCTCGCTGTTCCTGCGAAGCTTCTCGACGGGTTTGCTCCCTTCTTGCTGATTTGCATCTTGGATTGCCTTGCGGGTTTCCAGTGCTTCCTGGAGACGCCTGGCGATAGTTGCCTTGCGGCTTCTCGTTTTTGTTTGTCCTCTTCGATCTTCCTCTCAAATTTAAGGAGATCTACTTTCATTTGTTTCAGGATTGCTGTGTCTAATTTGTCTTCGGCTTCCATGGCGTGGAGTTCTTTCTGCCAGGCCTTGATTTCTGCTTCGTCGTTAGCGTAGTAACCCTTGTTTCCGTCTCTGCGGGCCGTGTGTGCGTAGCTGGGGCCTTGGTGGTTGTTGCGCCGAAGAGATGGTGTACGGTGACGAGAATTGGTTCCTTCAAGTTTTTGGCGCGACTGGCTTCTAGACTTTTCTTCAGCGGTGCGTGATCCGTGGTAGGCGTCGTTCTTAGTTCTCTCATTGTTTGAGAGAATGCCTGGTTGTTTCAGTGTCGGGTAGTCTTCGAGCGTTACCTCGGCGGTTTCTGCGTGTTTGAGGTGCTTCCTCCTTATCCCTTGCTTCCCCTGGCTCCTCCTCCTTGTGCTCTCGCCTGAAGTATCAAATTGACACGCTAGCGTGTGGGGCAGGTTGGGTCTGCGGCCAAGTGGGTTGATGCTTTGCAGTTGGTGCAATATTGCCGTTCGCACACGTGTCCTCTAGAAAGATACAACCGCAATCCCTGCATCGGGGTTTGCGCGTGCATACGTTTTCCTTGTGTCCGAGGCCTTG